CAGCCCGGCCGGTGCCAGCCGCCACGACGGATGCACTTCTGCCCAACCCCAGAGGTCAGTGGCCTCACTGCGCCTTCCAGGACAGGTGGCTGGGTCTCTCCTGCTCCAGGCCTCCCCAGGGCCGCCCCTCCGAGGCCGCACCCCAGTCACCCTCACAGACCAGCCCTGGCCACGGCGGGGGGTGGGGCCCGGGGGGACGCGGCGGCCTGCCCAGCGGGGGGCGGGCTCCGTGGGAATGAGGCCTTGGGAGCAGGGCTTGCTGCGGGGGCCGCAGAGACTCCTGGCAGTCGGCAAGCATCCCGGACTGGCAAGGGGGGTTCTGGACCCGCGCCCTTGGGAGAGGGATTTGAGAGGAGAGACAGGCAGGGTACATGGAGGCCTCACCTCCCCCGGGGCCGTGGGGGCGCCCCGGGGACAGCAGGCCGGGGCAGGCAGCCCGGGGAGGGGGCGGAAGTGGAGTGTGCCGTGGCCTCGGGCACGGGGGCTGGGGCAGGCTGTGGCGAGCGGCGTGGGCAGGACCAGCGGCCCTTCCTCCTAAGGAAGCTCGGCCAGGTGGGGGGAGGGGCGGACGGGCTGCTCATGGCCTCTCACGTGGCTCTGCTCGCCCCGCCTGCGCCCCCTACCTGAGCGCCCCACACCCTGAGAAGCCAGGGCTGAGCCTGTGCCACTGGAGACAGTGCCACCCAGGGATCAGTGCCACCTGAAGTATTAGAGCCACGCCTAGGTCAGTGCTAGCAGGGGTCCGTTCACTGGGGTCAGTGCCTCCTGAGGGCAGTGCCACCCAGAGGTCAGTCTCACTCAAACTCAGTGCCACCCAGCATCAGTGCCACCCAGGGGTCAGTGCCACCCAGGGGTCAGTGCCACCTAGAGGTCAGTGCTACCCAAGGGTCAGTGACACCAGGAGTCAGTGCCACCAGGGGTCAGTGCCACCCTAGGGATCAGTGCCACCCAGGGTTCAGCATCACCAAGAGTTAGTGCCACATGGGGTTCAGTGCCACCAGGAGTCAGTGCCACCCGGGGTCAGTGCCATCCCAGGCATCAGTGCCACCAGAGGTCAGTACCACCCTAGGAGTCAGTGCCACCAGGGGTCAGTGCCACCCGGGGTCAGTGTCACCCTAGAGGTCAGTGCCACCCAGGGGTCAGTGACACCAGGAGTCAGTTTCACCCAAGGTCAGTGCCACCCAGGGGTCAGTGCCACCTAGAGGTCAGTGCTACCCAAGGGTGAGTGGCACCAAGAGTCAGTGTCACCAGGGTCAGTGCCACCCTAGGGATCAGTGCCACCCAGGGTTCAGTGCCACCAAGAGTTAGTACCACACGTGGTTCAGTGCCACCAGGAGTCAGTGCCACCCGGGGTCAGTGCCATCCCAGGGATCAGTGCCACCAGGGGTCAGTACCACCCTAGGAGTCAGTGCCACCAGGGGTCAGTGCCACCCGGGGTCAGTGCCACCCTAGAGGTCAGTGCCACCCAGGGGTCAGTGACACCAGGAGTCAGTTTCACCCGGGGTCAGTGCCACCCTAGAGGTCAGTGCCACCCAGGGTCAGTGCCACCCTAGGGATCAGTGCCACCCAGGGTTCAGTGCCACCAGGAGTCAGTGCCACCCGGGGTCAGTGCCACCCTAGGAGTCAGTGCCACCCGGGGTCAGTGCCACCCGGGGGTCAGTGACACCAGGAGTCAGTGCCACCCAGGGTCAGTGCCACCCTAGAGGTCAGTGCCACCCAGGGGTCAGTGACACCAGGAGTCAGTGCCATCCAGGGTCAGTGCCACCCAGGGGCCAGTGCCACCCTAGGTCACAGTGCCATCAGGGGTCAGTGCCATCCAGGCTCAGTGCCATGCAGCATGGGGGCCCGCGGCCAGGGTCAGGGCTGGCATTGGGAAGATGCCACATGGGTCTGAGCCTGGCTTGGGCCCGCAGGCAGCGCGTGTTCCCGGATCTGGCAGAACCCACGCTTCGTGGCCAGGAAGCGGGGCTTCCCAGTGACGCTGCAGTGCTACACGGACGGCACCTCCAGCGTCGTGAGTTGGCTCCGGAAGCGCGACGAGGACTCGATGCCGCAGCCACTGCACCTGGAGCAGGGTCGCATGCTGCAGGTGCAGAACAGCTCCGTGGTCACCCTCACCATCCAGGGCGTCCAGTTTGAAGACAACGGCGTCTACTTCTGCCAGCAGGAGTGCCCGAGGAGCGGGCAGAGCTCCGAGGTCCACCTGGGCTGCGGCACCGAGCTGCGCGTCATGGGTGAGTGCGGGCGGGTGCTGCCGGCCCGGCCAGGGCGCCGGCGCGGGGCGG